CTGTGGTCTCAGAGGAAGGGTCCCCCCCCTCCCTGACCCCCCCCCGCCCCTGCTCTCTTTCCAGCCAGCACGTTGAAGAATGTTTTATTGATGTAACGTCAGGGAGGGTTTGGGAGTCCCCCGCCCGCCCTGATAATCTCTCTAAATGTGTCCTTCACGTTAACTTAATCCCATTTCTCCTCCTTAGGCCTTTTTGCAGCACCCTGGGCAACCTCCACCCCTGGCTGGGGGATTACCTTCTTCAAACATTTGCAGGCTGCTATCGCATCTCCCCCACCTCCTCCTTGCTTAACCAGGCTATGCATATTTACTCCTAGAATCACCCATCCCCACCCAAGACGTTAATCGACTCGTTTCCTCCTGTCGTTATCTTACTAGTAATTTGGCACTCAGGACCCGACAGGATTCTCCCCAGTCACTGAATCCAGCCAGCCCAGAACCAGAGACAAGGTGGATGAATGTCACCTTCGGGGGATCTGGATCAGAACTTCTCTCAGGTGAGTGACGCTTAACCTGGAAACAGGCAGGCTCTGCATCGCTTCCAGACCTTTGTTAAAAAAGGGGAAAATCTCCGTTACTGGAAGAGCACAAAGGTGCGCGTGCGAGAGTGCTTACAGCAAAGAAGAGGCTGCCGGTCTCCCATTTGAGCTATCAGTACACCCTCGACTCTGAATCAGCTCCCATATAGTGTCAGCGGCGGAGCCTGGGCCCTGGGAAGTGGCGCCACTTCCTTGCCAAGCTGAGTAACTCTCTTTTGTGGAGTACGGCATTTCGGAATTGTATTTCTCCAGCTGCGTTAGCTGTAATTATTAAATCTCCTGTTGCTACTTCCGGCCCCGGCTCTCTGTATCTACCCAGATCCCCTTGTATTATTTCTGTGACCCAGCAGCGATTGCAACACTGTTTGATTTAGTACCTTGGAAGAGGGGGCAAAGCAGGATTAATTTAGCTGGGTTGTTGTTTGCGTTTGATTCTTTCCAAGTCTACTGTGAAAGGCGCGATTGCTTTAGCGGCGCGCGAAGACCCCGCGCCTTCCCCACTAGACCCCTTCCCAATGGCTTATCTCATCTTTGCTTTGATGGGACTCGTAACAGCCATTCCCTGTGTTTGCAGTCCTTCGGCGGCCCACACGGCCTTGGCCACGCAAGGGGCTTTCTGAAATCCGCCCCTGCTCCCCTTACCGGGGACGCGCCTGCTGGTGCTGGGCCTTCAGGTCACCCACGTCTAGACGAGGTGTTTAGCCCCGGCCGCCCAGGCTGCGTTCCTCCACCCGCGGT